CCCAACACATTGAGATGCAAATCTGACTCAATATAGCATTGTTCTACAACAATTCTACTTTCTGGTTTGGTATATGCTATTTTAATATATAAACCTATGATGCTAACCTTTTTTAGGTACTAAAGCAGATCCTTTACACTACAAATCCAACTATGCTCGTTAAAGAATCCGCAGCGATTGCCATTTTGAACATCATAATTTACAACTTTGCAGCTTCCAAAAGTAAAATCTTGTCAGAACCTGGTCCCTTCAAGCTGCAAACACAATAATAGCAGCGCGTTTAGAGATGTCGCAAGTTCCTGATGAACTTCAAGTATGGGTGGAGAACTAAATAAGCTTGTAAAATGTATAGCCTTTTGTTTAAGTTGCTTATCCAGTTCTGTCTTCTTGTACATCTTCAAGTGGAAGTTGGTTATCTGTAGCTCTGATAGAAGAAACAGTTTCACCCTGAAAGTGGGAGTGGAAATGTATAATCAGAACTAGGTCAATTAACAATACCATAATCCTACATTCACTTGCATACAAGTATATTGCTTTCAATTTTTGACTTCCCAAAGGAGAAATATAGAAGCCAATGAGACCCTAAAAGTTTGCGTGAATAGCAAACAACAATATCAATTTGATGCAAGTGATATATGTCCACAGATACTGAAGTTTAGTTTTGAACCAAAAGAGCGAACTTTACCTTCTTTCGTTCGTCAGAAATATGCTGATCCACTCCACGGTTGTGATCATCTGAAATTTCATCTTCCTTCACTTCAGAGGAAGCACTATCACCATTTACGACACGATAATATTCAGAAGTGGAAGCATTGAGACTCTTAGAGATAGAATCACCATTAACAGAGTCAGTTCTGATACTATTTTCTATCTCAACTGACTTCTCTTGTTTCTTATTGGCTGCTATTTCAGCCTTCCTCTTCTCCTCCTCCCTCTGTTGCCGTTTTCTTGCTTCTTGTTCCTTTAACTGTTTAAACCTGCAAAAAATAATTAACGATGAAGTCCTAACCACCAACTTCTCACCTCCAAACAAGGTCAACAAGTCTTTCTAACCTGTCACCCTGGCGGGGCCTATCTGATGTAGGATTCTCGTCTTTCTTTTTAGTTATTGTTGCTTCAGAGACCTGTTTCTGAATTTGAGGTTGTTCTTCCCTAGAGGTTTCATCACTTAATTTCAGGGTTGGAATTTTTGCACCCCCGCGTTGCTCTTTCCTAGAAGTATCATCACTTAATTTCAGCGCTGGAGATTTTGCACCTCCAAACTTCTGAAGCCATACTTGTTGAGCAGTACTAAGTATGTTGTTTGTGAACCTGCATAATAAGATGGTAAAACAATCCTGAGCGATTATTAAGCATAGGAGAGCAATAGTGGTCAATAAATTGGATAATAAAGTATAAAAGGATAAAAGAAAATGAAAATGAAAATAGGAGGAAAAAACTGCTGTTTCCAAACGAGTAATAAAGAAGTGCTTACCAATATAGGCTCAGACCAGAAGGAACTGAAAGTGAAAAGTAACCAAGCATTAGAGGGAGAAACTTAGTTATTGCTTGAGAGTTCTTCACATTTGGATCATCACTCTGGAAATTAATTAAAAAGGGTTTAGTAACTAAACAGGAAAAGTGAACAAAAATAAAATGAAAATGGTTTAGAAGATAAGTGCTATAAATTGACTCAGTGAGAGTCTAATCAACAACCAACTGGCCAACAGAATTAAAGAATTGAGAGTCGGAATGAACAAGCTAATCAGACAATTCACTTTGCAATAACAACCAAATTCAGTTCTCAAGTTAGAGGGGGTGAAAGTAGAGATATGAAGCATAAAGAGTAGCAGAGAACACCATCTCGAGTCAAGGTTACATTACAATACAAAGGTCAAACACCATCAGTTTTTTCTTCATAAAATATTCATAACTTCAGGAACCAACAACATGCCCAACACTTGGAAAGGTAGCAAGTGAATATT